GAAGCTGCGCTTGAGCCGCAAATGCGCGTGTACGACGCCGGTCTCAACAACGACGGCGGTGAAGGTGGTGACGTTGAGATGCTGGACCAGGACAATGGCGACTATGTCATATCCATGAGCCACGCGCAGAATGCCGACAAGATGCATGAGGACATCCTGGGGTACTTCGACCAGGCCCTGCAGAAGAACTGGACCAGCGCCGAGCACTGGAGAATCAGGAAAATCAAGGATATCAACAAGCCAGCAGCTCCAGCCCGGCAACGCAAGGAGAAGGAGCCGTTCGAGATCGACTTCTCCGCGCCGCTGGATAACAACCTGGCTGACGCGCTGTACACAAAGGCCACCAGCAACTCCGCAATCTCCATGCCAAAGAAGGACTGGATCTCCAAGTCAAGGAATCTCCTGCCTGACGACAAGCACTTCAACTCCAAGTCTCTTCTTAATCTTTTCCTCAAGCCCAAGGCCCGTCTCAGCAAAAGACGTGTCCTTGGCACCAGAGGCGGCGCCTTCGGAAGCGGCGGCCAGGACAGAGACGTCCCGGCAGGCGAGATGGACGAGGCGTTCTGGGCCAATCAGAAAGAGCCGCTGCACGGCGCCGAAGAGACGGACACGTTGCCGCAAGGCGACTACGACGCCAACTTCTTCCAGGATGACGCACTTCCCTTCGCTGGTGGTCTGGAAGATGAGGATGATGAGTTCGCAGACGCTCGCGAGCACTTCTCGCCTACCGCAGAGGGCGACCCCGGTGTTACTGAGACTGCGGGTATGACTGCTCTCCTCGGCAGCGACGCAGCGACGAATGCCCTGACCGGCGCCTTTGGCACGACGCTAGTCACCCAAACGCGCCGTCTGCGGCCAGACTATGTGCAATACGCACGTGTGGCCAAGCGGGTGGACGTAAGACGTTTGAAGGAGGAAATCTGGAAGGGCATGGGCCTCGAAAGCCTTGAAGCTGTGAGTCTTAACTCATCCCCGGACGCAAACCCAACGCTCACTCATGTGCAGGAAAACCTTCCCACACCAACCCCGCCCGAGGACCCGTCCAAGGACCCAACGCTAAAGTTCACCGATGTCATGAACAACCTCCAATCAGTATACCCCAGGCCGATGATGGAGGACATCTCTACGAGTTTCTGTTTCATCAGTCTGCTGCATTTGGCTAACGAGAAGGGTCTCGTCGTCGAGAAGACGCCCGATCTCACGGAGCTAATGATCAAAAAGGATTGGACGGCCGAGATCACGGCTGGTGGAGACTAAACGAGTAGGAAATGCATAAAAAGGAACGGGAGCGACGGGCGGATGTGTCTTTGCGATCGTTTGTGCCGCGTAGGCCTTCAGCGGCGTTAATTTGCTTGTAACGACGACATGTTTGATTTTTGCAATGTTGATAATGAATGGGCGGAAAGAATCATTTGTTTCACGCCTTCTCTGGTCTCAGCTGCCTCCAACCGAAGGCATCGCGGGCCGAGTGGGCTCGGGAAGTCCTGGAGTGACGTCTTATGTAATGAATGACAATCGACCGGCCCGAACGGTTTGCCTCGAACTCGCATTAAATAACGATGAGTTTTGCTAGTCGGGCAGTGCTATTTGGCTATCTGGGCAGTATCCACACACACATATAAGCAATCCGTAGCTTATTTCTAAAGCGACTATATTTCTTTTTCTCGTTTTCGCCGTTGTTATTATATATTATTATTATCGTCGTCGTCGTCGTCTTTGTTATTATCCTTATTACTACTTCTATTACTCTCTCTATAATCACAAATTCTAGGGGACACTGCTCGACTAGCAAAACTCATAACGATATGCCTGCATTCTCACATCATGCGTCTTGACCGTTTTAACCTGATAAGGGGACCTTCTGGAGTTCCCTTCATCCTAAAGCAATGCCGCTAGCACACGTTCCAACGGCTGGTCCAACCCGACACCTTGGGTCTGGGAAGGGGAGCTAGAGGATCAATCGTGGCCGCTTGGGTCCCCATCCGATGAAGGGTGCCTTGGAGGCGACGGATGCGCTGCTGCCATGCTGTGCAGCATCCGATGAAGGGACGAAGGAAACAACCCGGATCGCTCACCGACGAAACAAATGTCTCGGTATTGTGCACGATAGGACGAACACCAATCAAAACAAGAACAGATGCTGCCAGAGTACGTTGCTGGATTTTTCCTTTGCAGTCGGAGCTGCGCTGTCGCCTTCTGGGGTCCCCCGCCTCTTTCAGGAGCATATCCTCCGGGCCGGGAACTGCGCTACGCCATAACACGCATCGGCCGTCGTCCCGTGGTCAGACTAAAGATCTGAACTTGCAGATTGTGGCGCCTGTTGGCCTTGTTACTCGCTCTCCAGGGTATGGGAATGTGTGTATGCGTATGCTTTCTGGGTGGCGGGCTGGGATGGGATTTTTGAGCATGTGTCTGCTTCAGCTTCTGCGTGCGATTTTAGCATGTCTGTAACCTTGCAGCAGCAGCGAACGGGAGATGTGTAGTATGTCTTGAGTTTGTGTGTGATGTCCTATTAAGAGCACAGCTTCTTTCCCTCCTCTTCGAAGTTCTTGTCCTTCCGTCTCTCCTCTCTGCTTGCTTCATTGCAACTCATCTACTCCACGGTCACGACCAAACCTGCCTTAACGTCGCATACTTAATAGCATGCTACGTTTGCCTCTCCTCGATCAGCTTAGCCTCACCACCTGACGCCCATCGTCAGGTCACTGGTCGTGATCGCCGTTGAGCACGCAGGGTCTAGCGATCGGCGCGAAAAACGCAGACGAACCAAACAAACAAAAAGAAGAGTCGAGCTTCACTGGTTCAGCATGCAGTGTTCACTCACACGGCAAGGGGGGGGCAGACAATAATACTACAAGGGTCCTCGCTCGGTCTGCGCGCCAAGGCTCGGAAAGGCAATCTACACAGCAAGTTTTTGAGGGCCGGGGAGGGGAGGACCCCGAAATTTTGAGCACACGATGACGTTGGAGGCTCTGGGAATAAGTGCGAAATGGATGCGGTGGTAAGGTATGAACTGACTTGACCTGCATGGGAATGATGTATGCGCCAGGCGGGGTTCGACCGACGCGCCAGACAAAACGAAACAGGGACCCCTTTCACCTTGCTTATTCGCTATTCGCGACTGGGGGAGGGGGACCCTTAAACCTGCACACACATACACACGCACCATGCGCCTGCCTCGTTGGTTGCTCGTCACCTTATCCACCTAGCGGCCGTCCGCATATGCTACTCGCTTCCCTGGCTTGCTGCTTGTGTGTCTGCCTCAAGCTTGGTTGGGCTTGGGCTCGGGGAACTTTGACGTCTGGTGGACAACAAGTAAAAAGGGTGTCTTCCCACCACATATTTCTCATTTACGTCACCTCTTTTCCATCTTGTCCATTTGAGATCATCCTTTTTCCTACCCATGGTGCGCAGTTCTTGGGCCAGTCACCCATCAACCTGATCAACACGGGACAGTATTTCGTTCAATTTGTACATTCCGCTGCCGTCTGTCCTGCTATCTCATACCATATCCTGTTGATTCAGACCTTTTTTCTTTACACTGTTTATATGATTTTCAGCATCTCTGGCTACCAAGAAGCTTCACTCTTGTCATGCCATTTTCAACCCAATTTCCGTTTCCTTTCAAGATGAACCATATCGTCTGGTCGTATCGCACAACTCATAGCCTGCTTAGGCAAGAAAGAAAATATGCAAGGTCCGCCATACCCAAGAACGCCAGTGAGGGGGCTTCCAAATACGCCGCCATAAAGTTTCCCAAAAACAATGCCCAGCAAGATGCCAACTCATGAGGGTATTTCAGATAGTCGAACACACCACCCTAGCTGTCCAGATTCGATAGACTCAACATATCCACATCGACGAAAATAAGCAGGCGGGTGAAAGCTCCTCAGGAAGGCCCGCGGCCCGGCAACAAGAAAAATGCCACTGTCTCAACACTCCTTTTCTTCAACAACATCAAATGGTGGCTACATCCACTACGACATTTTCTCAACGTCTGTTATTCAACAACTCAGCTGCGCGTGACAGTTGGTTCAACCCATCAAGTTTCGGAGTGCTTCGGTCTTGGGCCCCCAGTGAGGTCTGCGAGGAGGCATGTGAGGGTGCGTGTGAGGAAGCTATAGACCCCTCAGTTCCCGATGAGGATGAACTGGACTGGAACCGCAACAGCTGCGGTGGCGAGTGGTATCCTTGAGTCTTGTTAGCCCTGAGGAAAGCGGTACTCTTGAGGGGTGAACATACCATTCCGACCGTTTTGGGCGACGGTGGGCATATGGGGGAACATTGATTTTTGTTCCTGGAGTGGAGGTGGTGGACCCGCAGGGAAAGGTGGTGGTTGCACTTCAAATACGGCTGCCCGGGGAGGTTGAGAAACTGGAGAAACCTTGCCCTCGTTGCTGCACAAAGCATGGATCGGGAGAGGGTTGTGACTAGGCGTCTGAGGATACGACGGTGCGGAGCCGGATGAGGCAGTACTGCCTGCGGAAGGAAGTGGAGGTGGGAGAGAGTTAGGATGTCTCGAAGGTGCATAACCAAAGCCATTCATCATCTCGGGCGATCTCGAAGCACCATTCAACGATGGTAACACACCCGAAAACGAAGAGATTGAAGGAAGCACTTGAGTTGGGACAGCCTCGGGGTTGGATTGCGTGTCGGTCCATGTTGGGCGACGACTCCGGCTGTGGGTTGCGCGAGGACTTGTCGAGTGCAGGCTCTCGCGATCGAACTGAGTGCTGGTAGGTGAGTGCACCGCCTCATCGGCTGGATGTTGATGTTGCGAAATAGGCGTGGGAACAGCCGTCGAGTATTGTGACTCAGATAACGAAACGACAGACCCTACACGTTGCTTTCTGTTCGGAGGCGGTTCGCTTCCTGGTTGACTCTCGGTTCCGCTGCCAGTACTGCTCAAACTTCCTGGTGTTGCGCTTGCACTTCCGTTGGTTAGTCGAACCCCGGAGTCGAGTTTCTGACGTTTGGATGACTCTTTGGCTGAGAATGCATTAGTAGTGCATGGGAGTTGGAATAAAGCATAGCGTCTCACCTTGATTAGCGCTGGCTTGCCTGGCCTTGAAGTCTGCGAGGTATGCCGTGTACTTTCTGAACTCCGGAGTCTTCTTGTACTCGGCCAAATCATGGTTGTACTTCTCCTTTGCTTTCAGAGCCGAGGTTTCATACGGTTCCTTTTCTGCGGGAGTGAGGTTCTGCCAGTGTTCACCAACCAATTTGGCTATTTCAGTAAAAGTCAAATTGCGACCTTTCAACTCGTCGCGCATTTCTGATCCCGAGTTAGTTATGTGACCTCTCTTTCACGCTACCAACTAGGCTTACTGTTGGAAAATAACACATAGGCAGAAGGGGGGCGCTCTGGCGCATTCTCATCCGGCTGACGAGTTGTCAGTGCATATTTCCCATACAAAGCAGTTGCTCGACACATACCTTTGGGTGTCGTCGGTATTTGCGCTTGGCTTGAACTGGGCCCTCTTTGTTCTCGGGCCGCGGTTGATCGGGCCGTTGCGTCTCGGTCTTGGGCTCTTCCACGCTTGCTCTCGTTGGTGATACTAGGGACACATCGGGAGCGTGGCCCCTGGAGTTGGCTATGCGCCTCTGCAATTTCTGTCCCCGATGTTAGAATCTCCCGTTGACATCAGAGTACATGCCAGCTCCTTACACGTCTGTGGCCCAACTTGACACCAAGTGCGTCGCTGAGGCATACGTTAGTCTATGGTGCGCATCGTCGAGGGCGATGTGCTACTGACAGGTCGGATTCCGTGATATCCAAAATCGTGTCCCACGTGTCAAATCCTTGCTCCAGAAAGATGTCGAGGTACTGGGAAATGCCCAGCTCCTGGAAGATGCTCTCCAGATTTTGGGCCATCGTGGCAATATTTGTGCCTCTGAATTGGGCTGGTTGTTGGGCGAGTGCTCGTGGTGTGCGCGTCTCGATACACGGCAATATACGGCGTTGAGGCTGTTCAGGGAGTGCCTCGATTAACCAGCGTTGAAGGTTCGTTTTCCGTCGGTCAATTCGTTCCCATCTGATCTAATCGTCTGTTGGAGACGATTCGCGCCGTTTTCCCTCGTTCGAAGTCGAAGCACTTCTAGTCCCTCTCTGTCCAGCTAACAGTCATTGGAAAATTCCGGCGAAAATCAAGTCGCGTCCACTAGGCGGGGAGGCGAGGGCGATGAGGCGAGAAAACGGGCGGTAGGGGGGCGATGATGCGCGGGGCGACGAGGACGTGTACTCTCGAAATGCTCTGCGATCCGGGCGACGATGATGGTGCGAAAGCGCTGTGTTGGTCGATGTCGATGCCCTTTTCGTGAAATAGGCGACGGTCTGTTGTGTCGAGGTTATTAATGGGGAGTGATAGGGACGGAGGTATGCGGCAGGCCTGGCGTGGATATACCAATATGGTGGCTGCAATGTAAAGAGGGATCTCGATGACATGGTGAAGGAGACCGAGCTCTTGGGTGTGGGACAACGGGATGGACCAAGCAGAGAGGGGCTTTCAAGAATCGGGTGGGATGGATGGATATGTGTGTGTGTGTGCATGTATGTGTGTGTAGAGTGTACCGCGTGTTGCGTACTGCGTACACTGACAAGGAAACTGGAACAGTGAAATCGGGAGAGGATACGTACAGAAGCGATGGGGTTTTCTTGCTTTCTAAGCCTGGCAGCAGTCTACTACAAGCGCATGAAGGATAGGGAAAGGCAGACAGAATTGGCGTTGCCAGAGAGAGAAGGGATGTATTGGAACCAGGAGAGATGTCGGCGCGTCAAAGTGGGCGTGGAAGTCGTCGTCGTGTATCGAGACTCCGAGTGTTGCTTGTTCAAGGAGAAGGAAGAGGCTGGGTTTGGGGAAGAAAAGACGAAAGGCCCGCCAGCAAAAGTCTTTTTTTCTTGTCTCCCCTGGGGTTGTTCGAAATTGGGAACGGTGAAGAAACACCAGGGGGGGTCTGTCGACGGTGCGAAAGGTGATGGAAGAACGGAGCGCGAGTTTTCGGTCCAAAAGCGTGAGTGACAGGATGACGAGGTGAAGACGGAAGGGAACCGTTTATCGAGGTGCGAGCTAGTACCAGCCCCGCGGTGATCGACGCAAATTGAAAGGTGAGGTCAGAGGTGTCAAAAGGGAATCTGTCGGGTGGGTGTGTATTGAAGTAGCCTCAGACGTTGCCGCAGAAGTGTGATCCGGGGTGGCATGTCTTTCCTTTGCCCTCTATCACTACCTTATTAGACTGCATAGTACGTCGGTAGTAGGTAGGTAGGTAGGTAAGGCAGAAAGATGCAGGACAAGAAGCAGAAGCAGAAGCAGCTGGAGAGCTACCTAACAAGTACAGGCAGGTCAGGTATGGGCCACCAGAGTTAACAGGCGGATGGTTGTTTGTGTAGTCCAAGGCACCCAGGACGACACCGTAAGCTCCCTGGCGTCTGATCGCAGAAACCGACTTTTGAGGAATCCAACACCGTCACGACGAGGTTTTACTGGAAGCCCATCGCAAATAAAAGCGGGATTTGTCCAGCAGTGACCATGGGGGGCTTCCTAGCCCATGGCAGACCGGCATGCTTGACGAGTCAGGAACAGGAAACGGCCGCTTGGGGGGGAGGAGGAACTCTGGATACCTGAGAGGGGCGTACCGGTACATGCGTCAAGTGCCCTGAACCGCCTTCGGCAGCTAACCAGCTGTATCTCGTAGCCCGTACGAGGCACGGGTCCAGTCCATCTCAGTTCAGCGCACTTCAGTCCGTCAGGAATGGGCTGGGCTGGGCTGGGCTGGGCTGGCGTTGGTGTTCAGGTCAACAACGTCCATCCACGCCCCTCTGTCACTCTCACCTGGCTCACTCTCACGCTGTATTCCGCGATAAGATGCCCGAAGACTTGCAGTAGACGTTTAGCACTGCGCAACCGCTGTGGGTGATCCGTGCCTCCATCAACAGCGACTGTACCAACCTCCATTACCTGAGTCTGGTTCGTACCTGCTTTACCTCACTCCGTACCTTCTTCCAGCGTTCTCTACCCCGGCTACGTTCGGGCTCTTGAGAACATTGGATGCGGGTAATTCCGCTGTCTCTGAGCAGACATTCTTCAGCTCGACAACAATGGAAACAGGCTTCGACCTCGACCGCCAGAGACGGCTGGCTGGCTGGCTGGCTGCCAGCGACGGTCCACAATTCGCTGCAGAGAATCCGTGGTCGAGATACCTGGCATACCGTCATCACCCAATACCGCCGTTCAAGATTCAAGATTCGAGACTCCCACAAAAGACCATGGCCGCGACCACAACCACGGGCGGCAGGAGATGCGACATCACGTAGCTGTGGTGGATCCCATATCAGCAATGACCAGCCCATGAAGAAGCGAGGGAGAAGAATCCGACACCATGAACAACCCTGCAGTCCTCCAGAGACACGTACCGTCGCCTGGATTAGATGAAGGTCGAGAAATCAAGCAGCCCAGCTCGTGGACCTGGATCTCGATGCTCGACTTCCACCACCGTCGGTCGACCTGCACTTCAAGAAGCCTGCCCCAGACACGCCAGAGTCGCGCTTCTCGACGTGTCAGCGTTTGACCAGGCAAACCCAACATGGCTAAACCCACGCCTCTATGCGGGGAGACGGAGCATCCATCCATGGGCGCAAAGACACCTGAAATCGAGAATTGCGCCGCGATCGAAAGCCGCTACCACCCCTGCTGTAGCACACTCACGCGGACGTATCTGGCCATTACAGCACCCTACAGCCCACATTGGCACGCTACTATCACATTCGGGGACAGAGTACCCGTCTACCTCGCGGCATTTCACAGCCTGGGCTACCTTACCCAGTGCTTACCTTACCAACCTGCCTTACTGTGTAGGTCACCACCGCCTGCTGTCGTCCGCAGGCAAGGCGCCGTATCCAACTGTACGGCGCGGGTGAGACAACGGCCGGCGAACCATGACTGCCATGCGATCGCATACACGGCTGCGACGCCGACAGTCACGTTCGCCGTCTCTGGGTTTTGCGGAAGAAACCCCGTGGAAATAAACTCGTCTTCTTACTGGCTGTGTGTTGAACGGGAGTGCCCACTCGAGCGAGCGAAGCACTGCTGTTTCGACGGCTTGTCATCCAGCCGCTCCCAAGACGGGCGACATCTTGAGAGGTCACAAAAACAACACTTCCTCACGAGGCTTCCTATCATTACAGGACAGGCGCTCGCCAACATCACACGGCAGTCCCTTCCAGGGCGCATCGGGTTCTTGATTACTGATGGCACATTCATGCGGTGAAACGCAAGAAGGCGCCGGGCCAATTCGCCGTTGGCTCACCCGGTAACTGTGCGCCCCATCAGTGCACGATCGGGAATTTCGTTTTGTGGCAAAGGGGGCCAGCAAAAGCCATCGTCAGCCGGTGATTGCGCATTTGGCCGCAAATGGCATTTCCAATTTTCTTACCTCTCAGTCACCCATTGTCGGGTGTGAGGCTGAGAAGTGCATGCACCTTGACCGGGTCGTCACGGCCCCACAATCCATCAAAGCGTTCTGGAACTTGGGCCATCTCGACCTCGACCACGACCACTCGCCCGCCCAAGCCAGACGCGGACCAAGGCTAGCGACACCGAGGTCCATGATCCAGACGCAGAGATGCCCCATTTGCCAAGGTCATGGAATGGAAACTTGCATCCAGAATGGTTTTCCGACGTTGACTTGCTCGTCCTGCAGATGTGACGCCGGGGCACACTCTCCAGGCAGCCCGTCTCAAGGATCACGGATACTTCATCAACCATGTTCTGCCACTCTGCCTAGGACTAGCTCACACGGGATATCCACAACCACGTTCGGCCTTGATGAATATCAGGACATCGACGATGACCTGTCAGCTTCATTGAGCTCTGGAAAATATGGAACGACGCAGAGTTCTGATGGCAGCACCACCTCGCCTCGTCCGAGGGCAAGTGCAATTAAGCTGTTGCACTGTTGTTTATCCATGCATCAATCGTCATGGCTATGGGCCCTCGCTCGTCCGGGACGTTAACTGAACGTTCTGGACTCTTCAAGCGAACGCTGAGCGAACGTCTGGGCCAGCAAACCGAACGCAGCCACTAGGTATTCAAAGGCCAACATTCTTGTCGACGCTACCCTACCGTATGCACACTCCAATCCGACCGAGAAGGATGGGGGAGGGCGTCGGCCTATCGATTTTCCAATTAAGGGCAGAGGGTTTCGCTGCGGAACGCGCTACACGTCAAGTGGTAGCGTTACAAAGCACCGATGCGCAAGTCACCTTCCAACTCGACCATCGGCTTCCCGCCGTGACGTAGATTCGATGCGGCGCGTGGCTTTCGGAACCTACCACTTCACTGGGGTCCTTGGGGCCTGATGGCCATGCCGACTGACGTTAGGTTGTAGGTAACGGCAAGGCGCTCGCGGGCCACAGTTTCATCAAAGATGGGAAATAGCGGGCAGAGAAATGGGCAAAGAGGTGATGTGCGCGCATCGAGGAGCGATCGGCTTCTCCAGGCGCCGACCGAATGGAGACTGTTGGTGTGGGAGATATGGGAAGAGGAAACAAAACACCAGCATGGACAGTACGATAGTACGAACACTGACACCAAGGCTACAGGATCGTCAATCGAGTTTCGCTGCTGGGCCTTTTGAGCAGTGACTCTTCGTCATGGTAGTGTCACCTCCATGGCCTATATTTTGTGGTGTCTGATAGATGTAGGACGGCGGCACAGACGATCGCGATGAGCCAGCGGCAGAGGCAGCAGCGACAGTGAGGGTACCAACCGTATGTTACGGAAGGGTGTGGTGGTTGTCGCACACGGTGAAATCAACATCTCGATCCTCGAACGCCCATTCCAAGTCATCGAGATTCAGCAAATGCCACCAGTTGTGCTC